CAGAGTATAAAAAGTGGGATGCAATTGATTTTATAATAACAAAATAAACTCTTTTTGAGCAACAATGAATTGATATAATTTAGTCCATTTGATCACAGACCAATTTTACTCCATTTTTTTTGGTATATATAACTATAGATATAATAAGATTTAATAAATACTGATAATGCCAAAATTCACTACAGAAAGTTAGAATAATATATAGAAAATGGATGTCTCCATTTGTTATTCAATATGATCCTGGCTTTACCAATTGAACATGAAAGTGATTTCATATATTGCATGCTTTTGAATAAAAATAATACAACAACAATGTTGTCCAGTAGAATTCGGTGACTTAAGAGTCAGCATCACTGAATCAATCATTTAGCTGTTAACTCTGTTTGTAAATTGATCTACTCTCTACCTTATCTGAGGACTAAGTGAATTATATGTTTAGATTAAATAAATATATACCATAGCATAAAAGTCTATGTCCATGCCCCATAATAAACTTTTCTTCTGAAAAACTTTCAGAGCAAGAAACAATGCTTAAAACTATAGGCTTGTTTTAATATCTACTTTATGAATCTAATAATAGGAAGCACCTTCATTTAGGTATACAGTCTTAGAAATAAAAAAATAATTTCTTCAACTCACTTTTGCATGAAAATTTCTTGGATAGGCTTAAAATCCAGATGCTAGTATGAACATCACTTTCAAAGACAACCACTTAAAAAAAAGATTTATGTACATTATCCATCTTAGTGCTAATTATATTTATACAAATTTCTTACTACTCCTGGGAGCATCATTTTATAACATCATTTTGAATAAACATTCAGGTAAAAAACTATATACAATCAAATTAAGTGCCACTATTCATAGACTAAATCAATAGTATGGTTGATATTAATATTTAGTAATATGTCTTGAAACAAAAAATGTTATTATGCACATAATATATATTTCACACAAAGAATAATGATACATAAATTTTGCTTCAACAATTCTCAATATACCATATCTTCAAGATGCAGGGAGAAAGGATTTTTTAATTGGCCATTATTCATATATGCAATTCCCATCTGAAATTATAAGTGATTTAGTCTAGCAAAAAGCTAAGCCAACTGACACAATACTGTCTCCTCCCTTAGCAATTCTTGTGCTTGTTTGATCACTTGTTTGATCAGAAAAGAAGCACATTTGTCTCCCCCCATTATAGAAAAGTGGCAATAGTTGTATTATTTTTTTTAAAAAAATGTCTTGACTTAGCCACATTTTACAAAGATTATATTCTGCAATCCTAGCTAAAATGGACTAATTTGTTGAAAGTATACAAATATATATCCATACATTTCAAACATTTTCTTCAGCGGCATTACTATTAACTATTGCTTGGTCAAACTATTTTCCAAAGTATCAAAAGGCAAGACAAACAATGGTTGGAACTAACCAAGGAGAGAAACAACCTAGAACTATGGAGAAATTTCCTAATGGTGAGAGCAATCAACCAATGGAACAGCTTGCCTTCAGAAGTTGTGTGTGCTCCATCACTAGAGGCTTTCAAAAAGAGACTGGACAACCATTTGTCTGCTCGAGCACGGGGTTGGACTAGAAGACCTCCAACATCCCTTCCAACTCTGTTATTCTGTTATTCTGTCCTGTTATTTTGTTATGCTTGCTTTTCATTGTTAAAAAAATCTTTGCCAAGTTCAAAGTATGAACATACTATGAAATTACATGAAACAAGATTGCATCACTATTTCAAAATTAACTGTTTTTTCTACCAGGTAACATTGATAATGATTGTTTAGTTTTCTTCATTGATCTAATGTTGCTTTGAATAGTTGTATAACTAAGGTTCAAGAATATTTTTTTTAAAAAAAAAATCTGAGCCCTTTGCTTTTACTATTTTTATTATTCATATATACAGTATATATACTATACACACATGTGCAAATTTAAAGGAAATGAATACACGAATGAAGGGGAATATATATGTCCCAGGATAATGTTGCAGGATCCAATCCAACTTCTCACTGACCCAGCTTGGAAATGAATACAACCTTTCTGGAGGGGTTTCAGTTGTCATCTGACATATGTTTAGATGAAGCAGAGAATGTGGGCTCAATATATGAAGCATTATATCATATGGCTTACCAATAGAAACCTGAACAAATTTTTCTGAATGCCAGATCAAAATAGCTAAAACTTTCCAAGTTAAGAGTCTCGAACATGAACAACAACAACAACAAAAAAGTCTATCACTATGTTATATAATTTTCTGTAATCTGTTCACTTTTAATTTTTAAATCTAATGTCTGAATGTCTTTATCATTTATCTAATGTCTTTATCATTTAGTGCTCTACATTAGCAGCGTTGAATTCCCACTAGGGGACAGCTAACCTGAATGGGAAAAACCATATTTTTTTTTATTTCAATGGTTTTTTTTGGTACAAATTAAGTTTCAGTGCAACTTAACGTAAACGTTTTAGTGCTGTCTTTTTTACCAGACAGTGCAACTATGGATGAAATACAGTCATTATGTGAAGGAAATGTCCAATTAACTACCAGACAATTCAGTAAGCTCTATGTAAATCTATGAGGAGATGGTGTCATAAGTAAGTTTGCTGAATTAATGTTTAATTTCTTTCTTGCATAGAAATTAACTACCCCCTCCCAAAAAAAATATCCTGCATAAATGTCAGCCACAATAGCTATTTAGAATTTGTAAGGGACACTGCATTGAAATGACTTTTATTTATTTGGCATTGCCAAGCAAAGATTCTTTCATGGGAGGAAGAGAAAATGAAAAGATTCCTCTTGCAGTCCATTTCTTAAATAGGTTTTCCCCTTCCTCTTTTCCTCCCAACCTGAAGCAACAGAGGAACTTCCCAAGTCAAAACTTGTCTCTGCTTCCAATGGACTTGTTTTGCTTTTGGCAATTAACCAACCGAAATGTTATCAAGAAAGAGTCCATCTCATTTATAAGCCCATGTGCCCTCCCTATCCCCACCCCTGACTCTATACTAAAATATGCAGGCACTGTGTGCTTTATTACCAGCAGGAGATAAATGGCTGGTTTTCGTTGCTGAAGAATATATAATGGTTAAAAAGTCACTTTTTTCCTCCAGCTCTACATAAATCACAGAACTAGTCAATATTTAATAATGCTTGCCTTGGTCTGGAGTCCCTTGATCACCCCTGTCATGTGTAATAGCTCCCTCTCCGATATCTTTGACATAAAAGCCCAGCTTTACTGCAATACTAACATGTAGAAGGTCATTACGGATCGACATTTACCTTAATCTGTGACTGCCAACCATGAACCGATAAATTCCAGCAGATTCCACTGGGAGAAATCAGTAAACTTCTCAGTGGAAAGAACTGAAGGAAAATTCTCCGAGAACAGAATACATTTTCTACAAGGGCTGCTCTGCAAATGGGTTCTGACTTTTGAAAGTTCTCTTGCCACACAGCTTTGCAACATTTAATATAGTTTTGATGGTCTGAGAGATGGGATGACAACCAGGAATGACATGACTTAGAAGGAAAAAAGGATTTTTTTTCCAGAGGAAAAAAAAACAATGCAAAATTAAACACAAAGGGGAATATATCTTCTCAATTATTCACCCTTCTCCCTTGGTGGAAATGACTTAGCTGTCATAAGCCCTACCAAAATATTGATTCTCTATTCACCCACCCACCCCCATCATTCCCTCACTTTATAATCCTACAAGTGTTTTACAGCAGAACCATCAAAGCCTTCACTTTATAAAAGAGAAGAAGAATATTTTCCCCCCAAAACAGGGTGGTGTTTTTTTCTGAAAAACAGATTTATTTTCACAAAATGAACTATATTTTTTCCAAATGTTCTTTACTATTTTTCATTGTGGCTTTGATCTGCCGTCCCCTCCCCCAAATGATTTTTTTGAAGTACTGACAAGAATAAAATATAGTGGCTAGGCTGCCAGCATAGTTTTTGGTAACCAAAAAGAAAAAAAAAATCTTAGGGTTAGGGCTAATCTTAGGGGAAAAAATAAAACAAATAATGGCAAGTCCCAATCCGTAAATCTGTCAGAAAATGTTTATTCCTCTGAAATTACTCTGTAAAATAATAGTGACTAAATAAGAAATAGATTTTGTGGAAGCTGGAACAGATCTGCCAAATTCAGACCTCTAATCAGTCTTCCTACATGATGTCCAAAGAACTTTTCTCTCTGTTTGTTACAGAGGTAAAATAAAAACAATATTTTTTTTTTTAAAAAAAACAATTCACAAATTTAGCCAAATAATTTAACCAAAGTGATCCCCCCAAAATTGTGAAAATGCCAGATGTAATATCTTACTATTAATACTTTGCTATATAAAAATAAATAAATAATAATAATAATGGCAGAAGATGGTGAGCACCATAAAAACACCAGCGCAAAACAATTCATCTAAGCAGCAAACTCTAGAGTTAGATGGAAACCTCCTTTATGGAGAAATTAATTTATTATGGCACTATACAGGATTAAATAAGACCACATTACTTTGATATAATTGTAAGTTGCCCAGAAATTGTTAATGGGTCAGGTGGCCTTAAAAATTAAATTATATAAATATAATAGAGACACAGATACAATTTGAATAGGACCATTATAGTCAATTTAACTTAGTCATGAGTAAGTTAAGCTCTTTTTTCTATGGACATTGATATAATTCAACACAGTAATGCACAGAGATACATTCAGCTTACTAAACAATTCTATTAGAAAGGAGATTCCTCCCCAGGTAGATTGGTGATGGTATACTTGTAAGTCTGAAACAACATTTAAGAATGATTGCTGAAGGCCAAACATCATATTTTCAAGTTCCATCAAAACCAATGTTTTCAGTTTTTACTTTAAAGCAATTGTGTTGCTTTAGATTGAAGCAATATCAGATTCACGTTTTAATAAAACACTTTTTCTGTAAATATCTTAAGGAGCAAGTAAAGCTTCAGCTCTCCAGTAATGTATCAACATGGAAATACCTTTGTCAGCATAGAAGATTCCAGTGAAAAGAACAGCATACATTATTTGCCCATTGGGTTCATTCAGAGGAAACCATTTCACTTTAACTTCTTTGGCTCTATCATTAATAACAAACAATTCAATGTTTCCTTTAGGTACATCTTCAGTTGTATGAGCTTTTACCTGAGTATCATAAAAGAAAGAAGAAAGAGAAAATAGTGTTGTAATCTACCAGTGCTGCACCTATGTTTTCTTCTACTCTCTCTAATGTAAATTTCTATATCCAAATACATTGCTAAGAAAGATATTACACTTACCTTTGACCACAAGCAAACAAACTAAAACTATCCAAATAATAAAATTATTCTTGGACAGGGTGAGATGGACAGGAAACCTATTACAATATTTTCTTTGTACTTCTGGAGTATGTAAGTGGAATAAATATTAATAATATCAATTATCATTAATATCATTTGTTGCTACTATTTCCTACTGAAGATTTAAAAATACCACCCATCCTTTGAGACAATAACTGGGAATACTTGTGCATCTACTTTCATTACTTTTCAGGTCCATAGCCAGCTACCATTTTCGCATTCTGTAGAGTCTTTCCATATAACTACAGAAGAATACTACCTAAGCAGAAGTCCATAACAGTGATTCTGATAAGAAACAGTTGCTGGGCTTTACTTATAATCATAGTTGTCTGAAATGTCTTTGTTTTGTTTGTAAATTCTGCTGAGTCTTTGCCCAGATTTAAAGTCCTGGGGCTCTAGTCCAGTTCTTTTTGCTAGTCCTCTTGGAAACATCTCATTTTCTCTATCAGTTAAAGTGTCCACCAAACATGCATACACTGTAACGTCAGAATTACAGTTCCAATAGGTCTGAAAGGTGAAAAGTTAAGAAAGGATGTCCTGTACAGTCATTAATGACTTCTACATCCATCCTCAAATGATTTATTTGTCTGCCTAGGCAAATCACAGCGACCTCACAGTTTCATTCATAAAAATGCAATACTTTATGTTCAAGCATTAATACTGGACTGAGGAAGAATAGCTTGCTTCTCAACATTAAATCAGCTTTCCCTGGTTACTGGAAAATGAGGTCCAGTATTCTCCCCACCATTAGCACAGATTTCTGAAACTTGCAAATGGAGGAATAAATCTGATGACTTAAGCTATAGCTCCTCAATTTTACTAAGAACAAAATATAATAGAATCATAGGGCTGGAAGGGACCTTGAAGGTCTTCTAATCCAATCTCCTATCCAAATCAAGAGACCTTATATCATCCTGGACAAATGGTTGTTTAATCTTTTCTTGAAAACCTCCAGCAATGGAGCAGCCACAACTCCAGGAGGCAAGCCATCCCACTGATTAATTGTCTTCACTGTCAGTAAATTTCTTCTTAGTTCTAAGGTTGGATCTCTCTTTAATGAGCCCATTGCTTCTTGTCCTGTCATCAGGTTCTTTGGGGTATAAGTCGACCCCTTCTTTTGTATGACATCCTCTCAAGTACTGTAAAGCAAGTTCCAGTTTAATCTTTTTAAGAGAATAACAAAGTTGGAAGGGACCTTGAGGTCTTCTAGTCCAACCCCCTGCTCAGGCAGGAAACCCTATACTATTTCAGACAAATGATTGTCCAATCTCTTCTTTAAAACCTCCAATGTTGAAGCAGCCACAACTTCTAAAAGCAGGTCATTCCATTGATTTATACTTCTAACTGTCAGGAAAGTTCTCCTTAATTCTAAATTAATTCTGTCCTTGGTTACTTTCCGTCCCTTGCCTCTTGATCTCTCTTCAGGTGCTTTGGAAAATAGGATGACCCCCTCTTTTTGGGAAGCCCCTTAGGCATCGGAACACTGTTATTATGTCACCCCTATGTTTTAACCTCCAGTCCCCTAATCATCTTTGTTGCTCTTCTCTGCACTATTTCCAGAGTCTCAACATCTTTTTTATATCATGGCAACCAAAACTGGATGTAATATTCCAAGTGAGATCTTTCCAAGGCATTATAAAGCGGTACTAACAATTCACGTAATCTTGATTCTGTTCCTCTGTTAATGCAACCTAGAACTGTGTTGGATTTTTGGCAGCTGCAGCACACTGCTGGCTCATATTTAAGTGATTGTCCACTAGGACGCCAAGATCCCTCTCACAATTGCTACTATTGAGCCAAGTACCACTAATTCTATACTTTGCATTTCATTTTTCTTGCCTAAATGTAGATCCTTACTTTTTTCACCATTGACTTTCATTTTGTTAGATAGGGCCCAGTGTTTAGGTCTGTCAAGATCCTTCTGTATCTTGAGCTTATCATTTGGAGGGTTGGCTTGATGTTGTCTGCATATTTGATGAGTTCCCCTTCCATCCCTTATCCCCTATTGATAGCAATAGCACTTAGAGTTATATACCACTTCACAGTGCTTTACAGCCTTCTCTAAGCAGTTTACAGAGTCAGCATATTGCCCCCAACAATCTGGGTCCTCATTTTACCAACCTCAGAAGGATGGAAGGCTGAGTTAACCTTGAGCCAATGGGAATCGAACTCCTGGAGTGATCAGTGAGTTAGCCTGCAGTACTGTGCCACCACAGCTCTTATATGATGAAGATATTGAAAAGTACTGGGCCTAAGACAGAGCCTTGGGGTACCCTATTGCATACTTTGCTCCATGTGGAAAGAATTTCTGTATTTATCCCATGTTTTTACTATTTATAGTTGAATGATACATTGCATACTTCTGTTTGAATCCAACCAAAGATCTGTAACCCTTTTGGTATTCCTGCTCCAACATTACCGGTAACCCTATTGTAGAGTTATAGAAACCAGTCTGTAATCTAGTCCAGCTAGTTTAATAATAAAGTTTAAGATTTGTTAATGCCAGTCTACTTTAACTTGAAAAATCTTGAGTTTATTCCTAGGTCTTTTGTTTGAGTATATAATACCTGTTATTTGTCTTTGCCACTTATTTAATACCTTGTCTTCAATTTTCACTGGAATAATTTGGAATAGAAAATTAATCCTTGGTAAAATATTCATTTTTACTGCTAATATTCTACCTTATCAGAACAAGTTTAATTTTTTCAAACTTAGAATATCTTCCATTAAGTCTCTAAGTTACCTTTTAAGTAAGTCTTTATTATTTTTCATTAAGTACAGTTTCAAGTATTTAAATGGTTTAATGGTGATATTAAATTCTGTTATTTGGTGCGGATATTGCTTTTCTTCTTCAGATAAATTCTGTTTTTGCTTTTATTTTCTCCATGTTTGCCTCAATAGTGTTCAAAATATATCTGATATTATCTCTCATATCATTACATTATCTCTCATTTGTCTTTGGGACAACTCTTCTAGTCAGGATGTATTAGATCAGTTAAAAAGAAATAATAGCAATTATTTCTAAAAATAGCATACTGAAACTAGTTCAGATTTTTAAGTAATGTTCTCTTTAAATATAGTTAATATTCTTAACTATGAATTTCCTAGCTTTTCATTAAATCTGAAATCACATGCCACTTCCTTGAAAAAAAATTTAAAATGTTATGCAAAAGCAATTCTCATACCTATGGATACAAATCTTTACTCCAGGCACATTAAATAAAAGATCTGTATTAAAAATAGCCAAAAGCAGAATATCACCTTACTGTTGGGAGATGCCCTTGTTTCTATTAAAAGGAATCAGACAGCTAAGTTATAAATGGTAAAGAGAGAGAGAAATACTTTAGAAAATCAAATGTGCTTCTGGTACTTTAATATCCTGATTAGGCCTGTGTTTCTTAAATAGAAATGTATTTCAGTTTTTGTGACTAGAGGTGGGTCACTGGTCAGGAAAATAGAGTGTTGTTTTTTTTTAATTTTGGAGAAAGTAATACAGATAATCACAGATCAATTAAGAGACAGTTAAGGTACAGGATTTGTAACCACTGTAGAAGAGGAGGACCTGTGCTGAAAACACTATATTATCAGAAGAGATAATGCAAATGGCAAATAAACTACATCAATGTCACATGGGAAGTGATCTTACAAATAATGATGTTGTACCTGGGATGGGAGAACTTGAAAGAGAACAAGCAAACATTTTAAGGGCGTAATTCTACCAGCACGGTCATTGCTGTGCAATTTTCATGCATTATAAATAGGCTTATGGGGTAAGAAATATATGAAAGACAAACAGCAACAATTTAACAAGGATTGTTTCCTAAACGTGTCAATCATTCATATGTGTATATGCATATGCAGATAGATAGATAGATAGATAGATAGATAGATAGATAGATAGATAGATAGATAGATAGATAGATAGATAGATAGATAGATAGATAGATAGATAGATAGATAGATAGATATGTAAAAAAATTGATAAAAAGCCATTTGTGCTTTCGAGAGTAAATATTCATCAGCCCCATTCAAGCTCTACAATGTTTAATGGTAATAAGGTCCACAATTCTGTTTTATAGATGAATAATATTACTAGCATTTTAAAGTAATGAATCTTGGGAAGAAAATGGAAAACCCCAGACAAAATAAAAATAAAAAAATTGTGATATCCTTTCCTGGGGTAATCTTCACACAGTGAAGGTGTTATTACAAACTGAGAGGTTGTTAAGTAAAATTTTGCCAGAAGTGCTAGAATATGTACTTCTGATTTTTCTCCCCTGTTTTGAGTAAGATGAGGAAAATGAGAGGTTTTATGTCACAGATTTTACTGGGGGGGGGATAAATTCAGCTCCACAAAGGCAGAGAATATGTTATACTTGACACCACACGATATAGTGCTTGAACTGTTTTTTAATCGGGGAAATATAATAAAGAAATTTATACGGCACATCACAATAATATTTTACACTGTTAAAGTATGCATTACGAGAGCATAACATTGCAAAACTGTAAAATGATTAAGATAAAAGAACAATATAAATATCATTTAAGTTATAAAATGTTTGCTTTCAATGTGAAGAGAAACTCATATTAAAAATTCTCATGCATCGTTTGCTGCTTTACTACATCATTAAATATTTAATTTTAAACTCATAGCTTTTTAAAGCAAGGTATCACTTTGGACAACATCTTTCAAGGTGTGATGTATAATTTGTTTGATCTTCTATGAATGTTTCACACCATACTTTTCAGGCAAGGAAGAGATAGCAAGTTTTTCCTCATTCTGGAATAGTGATTCTTTAATTGTGTCCTTATAAATCAGATTAAAGCAAGTCATGACTTTTAAATGTATCAACTTCCCTTAATTTCAATTATACACATTTTTTCCTCATTTCTCCCCTTCCCAAATTCTCTGACTTTACTGTATCTATATGATATTTTGAAAAAGTGCTTAGTAGTAAGTTATTTGAATCCATTGCAGCTTTTAATGGCATTTTTGTAAAATGTCAGATGGGTTAATACTGACCACTGAGAATCGTCACCATTACTCTGATATTCAGTATCAAATGACATTTATTACATTTTCAGAATGTAAATGGAAGAACTCACCAGCGGCCCCAAAGCACAGCCGTTTACTGTGCATGCTTGAACTCTGAAGGCATGGAGACTCCAAGGAGAAAGGCCAGAAATATAATAGTTCAGTTTTGAGGAATTCTGCACCAGAATGCCATTCATGTATAATCCATAACTAGTAATAAATCCTATTTTGAAAACAACAGCAATAAAAGGGAAATGTATAGAGTAACTGTTAAATCAGAATAAAGGTACATTCTAAAGGTTATACTTACCTGGGAGTAGTATAGTGAAGCCTCCTTCAGAATATCTATTTATTTACAGGTAGAGCTCAACTTACAACCATTCATTTAGTGACTATTCAAAGTTACAGTGGTACTGAAAAAAGTGACTTACAACCAGTGGTGTGATTCAAATATGTGAACAACTGGTTCTCTGTGTGGATGCCACTTCCGGAAGTCCATTCTGAGCCTGGACAACAAAAATTAGCTACCGGTTCTGCTGAAGTGGTGCGAGCTGGCTGAATCCCACCACTGCTTACAACTGACCTCACTTAACTGTTAAGCATCCTTGTGGTCATGTGATCAAAATTCAGGCACTTGGTAACTTCCATGTATTTGCAACGGTTGCAGGTTCCCGGGGCCATGTGGTCGCCATTTGCAACTCTTCCAGCTGGCTTCCAGAAAGCAAAGTTAACGGGGGGACCTGGGTTTGCTTAATGACCACATGATTCACCCAGCTGCAGTGATTTGTTTAACAACCATGGCAAAATGTTGCAAAATTCACCCATAACCTTCTTGCTTAGCAACAGAAATTCTGACCTTAATTGTGGTCATAAATCAAGGGTTTGATTTATTACTGTTTATTTAAAAGTTTTTGTATGGCCACTCATCATAAACAGAACTCTAGGTGGCTCACAACAATAAAACCAACAATGATGCAACTGGAATTAAGCCTGGGGAGAATGTGTTCAAATGAAACTTGAGTGAACCTGCCTTGACTCTGGATGGTA